GATTCTGAATGGAATTCAAACTTGGCTCTCAATTCCTCAATCCGAGCCACACGCACACACACACATATATATATAAAAAGAGAAATATATATATATATATATATATATATATATATATATATATATATATATATATATATATATATATAATAAAGAGAAATATATATATATATATATATAATAAGAAAAAAAAGAAAAAGTAAGATATATAATCCGGTGTTCTTACTAATATATATATATATATATATATATATATATATATATATATTACGACACAGTGCTCAATGCAAATCTGCAGAGCATAAATATTGATACAATAGTTGTCAGTGAAAAAGAATACCCTACCACCCCTTGTTAAAATGATTGGATTTCCCCATATCCATAGAAACTTATATTATAAATGTGTGCGCTTATAAAACTCAGTAAATTTCAAAATAAGTTATTCCAAAATTCGCTTGAAAATTAAACCAAACTAGGGGCTTTAATTTAATTTAATTCTATAATTGAATTTGAAGTTTTTAGCTTCTGTTTTTGTAACTTTTTTTTAACTTTTTTTTTGGTAATTCCTATGTAGCAATGGAACCATATTTTAAATAAGTAAATTTATTTATTATATATATATATATATATATATATATATATATATATATATATATATATATATATAATTAATTAATTAATTAGTGTCAGCCTGAACTATCTACATATCAGCGCTTTGAGCTGTTCATGATGAACTCTTCTGTCGATTTCGTCATGTAAGGGCCCAATAGTTCACTTTAGTACTAAACCTTTGTGCTACCCGCACAAACGATTTGGTATTAATGGTGAAGTCTGGTGCCAAACAATTTACACCTTTCGAAGGAACTAATAATTGAGAAATAAAGCACAGTGTACCAAATCTCTCCGGAATAAAGAGGACATTAAAATTGTCATAAAAATCAACTTCCCGGTTTAGATATGGTTTGAATTCAAACATTTATTTCCCTCAGTGTGGCAGCCACCCAAATCTGCCCCGCTATTTACCTCATAATTGGATGGAATGTATTTCGGCTTTTTCCACAGAAAATAAGGAATACAAGAAAAAACGAAACTGGAAGTTACAGATGCATATTGTGAAAAAAAAAAGATTATCAAGAATGGCAATTGAAAATCTATCTCAAATATTCAAATATATACGAAATAATTTAGTAAATAAGTGATGACTAATACACACACGCATACACACACACACACACACACACACATATATATATATATATATATATATATATATATATATATAATAATATAGACCACTTTTAAGGTTTATGGAACCTTAAAGTGGTCTGTTTTTATTTAAATTATTTGCTCTGAATTTACATTCAGCTATCTGGATTTTATCCTCCTTAGGTTTACCCATACAGATTACCTAGTTTTTTAAACTATATATATATATATATATATATATATATATATATATATATATATATATATATATATATATATATATATATGATAAAGGTTTAAGGTATGTTATATTTAGGAGTAAATGTGTGAAAGTACGTAACATCAAGAATACAGTGTAAGTAAATATAAAAGTAGATGCACTCAAGCATGAAATAGACTGCAGCCGCTCGAGATTGCCCTTAGTGTCCACTTTTATATACACATACAAATATTCAGGCCCGTAGATGTAAGTTTAATTAAAAAGGAGTCATTGACTTAAATATGTTGTATCTATAAAAATAACGTATAAACAGAAAATATATAAAATAATTGTCGGACTTCATCCGTTTCATATATATATATATATATATATATATATATATATATATATATATATATATGTATGTATGTATGTATGTATATTGCTGATCGTTCAACATCTTTGTAGTGTAAAATTGTTTTGTCTATATGAAAAATTATATATATATATATATATATATATATATATATATATATATATATATATGTTGCTGGTGGCGAAATGGAACTGACGGTCGTGATCGTTCACTGCCCAATTGAAATTTGACTTAAGAATATATTAAAGATCTGCTATTTATTATGACGTTGAGCACTTTTTCCCTACCGGCGATATATATATATATATATATATGTGTGTGTGTGTGTCTGTGTGTGTGTGTGTGTGTGTGTGTGTGTGTTGAATTAATATAAGTAAAGGTTTGTCACTTAGATGATGTTGCATCTTCCGAATATATATATATATATATATATATATATATATATATATATATATATATATATATGGGGGGGTCCCATTATTGAAGGACGAGAGAAATCGCTGTGTTTAGTTTATGCATATTAGTTTTATTTCCAAGTACTTTCGACACATCCATGTCATCAGGAGGCTATTTTTTATTACAAAATAAATATTATAGTGTTCATTAATGTCAGAGACAAATTGTCGTGTCATCTTTTATTTGACCTGTGAGTATCAGTTTTTCTAAGCACTCCTTTTTCATTATGTGTCCCAGACACTTCAGCTGCCTCTTCCTGGTGTTAAGTATAAGACTCCTCCTTGTCTGCATCTTCTCCAAGACCTCATATTTGCTCACACGCTCGGGCCATGATATCCCCAGCATTCTTCTGTAGAACCACATCTCCGTCGCTTCGAGTCTCTTCATCTTTGGGGAGAAAATATTTGTGGAGTATTCATAATTAATTTTATTCAGGTTTGGTTGCAAATTTTAATACACACACACACACACACACACACATATATATATATATATATATATATATATATATATATATATATATATATGTATGTATGTATAATCTTTAAAGCTGCATTTTTTTTAGAATTTTATCTCTATTTCAAATTTCATATTATTAGGTTGTTGAAAAAGTTTCCAAGAAATTTTAAAATATTTTCCTCATATAAAATTCATTACATCATTAGTGTATTTTCACTGGAATTGTGTATTCCTGTCTAAAAGAATGCTTTTCATTCCATGTGTTGCATTTACCAATGGTAACTTTATTTTTTATGGTTAATAAACTATTTAAAACCCATGCCATCTCAACCCACCTATTTTCATATTTTCATACACACCCAATCCCATATCAGATTTTGTTTTAAATTTAGTGTCTAGATTTTATTCTATTAGGGCAGTAAGTATATGTAAATAAATATCAATCCCTATAGATTGTTTTTTTATAGAAGTCATTTAATTTCATTTTTTTCTCTCCTAGTAAAAGCATATTTTCTGTCAAGTCTGCACAAGACACTATATTTTTAAATGTAAAAATTAAGTATCTTACCTTTATATATATATATATATATATGTATATATATATAATCTTTAGAAGAATCATTTTAAGAATTTTATCTCTATTTTAAGATTCATTTTGTTGTAAAAGTTTCCAAGAAATTTTAAAGTTTTTTCCTCATATAAAATTCATTACATCATTAGAGTATTTTCACTGACTTTCTATAACTTTTTACCACCTTTTTTTAAAGTGAAATTGTGTATTCCTGTCTAAAAGAATGCTTTTCATTCCATGTGTTGCATTTACCAAATGATGTAAACATGTTTAATAGTGCCTACCGTAGGTGCATTTACCCCAATGTTAAAAATAAAAAAATCAGAAGTTGAAAGAACATAAATGTAAGTTTTATTTTATATAAAGAGAACATGCTAACAACAATTAAAAATGTGTTACATGCCTTCTCCCTGACTCTGAAAGGTAAAGATAGTGAATATTATAAATATATGTGTTTTATAATTTCATTCCAACCTCTTGGGAGGCAAGTTGGAGTAATGGATTACGGTTCAGATTGAGAAATCGGAGAGCCGAGTTCGAATTCCAGTCGAATCCATTACATTCACTTCCGTGCTAATACCCTTGGGAAAGATATGTATTCTTTTCTTCACAAATAGCAGGACAGACCAGGTTCTATAGCCTTGGATGGCAATTGGTCTACCACAGAAAGCATTGACAACCTATTGCGGGAAAAATCTGCCTCATCATTCATGTATCGAAAGATACATGATCGCCTAAGCGTGTATCACGCATGGCACATAACTGACTGATGTCTTTAATCGCAAATCCAGCATATCATATCACAAGTGGTTTTGTTTTCCCGATATGTTTGTCATGTTGCTAGCACGGTACAATGATTGACAAATACACACACACACACACACACACACAAATATATATATATATATATATATATATATATATATATATATATATTGTCTGGAATGTTTTACAGTTTCTAAAACCATCTATCGGTGTGGTGTATTAATTATATATCATTGCTGCATAAAATGTTCAGGAATTTAAGAAATATCTTACAACCAGAAATGGATGTTTGATGGTTGGTGTAATTAAGTTTTTCTTATCTGTAATGACCACGGGCGAAATTTGTGAAATCTTCCAATCTTAATATCTTTCTCCAAATCCCTGTCCCATTTTTCGGACTGCAAATATTTTCTTCGCTTCTGACTTTCAAATTGTTTAAGGGTGTCTTCTTCTTTATGTAAATGTTGCCGTGATAAAAGCAACGAATATCATTCTGAGCAACATACCTTCACAGTCTACCCACGCTATTTAACCCCTAGCTGGAAGAGGAAAAGACAAGATCTTGCTTTTTTCAAGTGCCTTAGTTCGAAAATAAACACAGCAAACGAGGCCGGAAATTGAATTCGATTCGCTGCTTTCATTTTTTTCCTCTTTGGTACCTCGAATCCACGAATTTAAACGCAGTACTTGATTGGCAGTTAGGTCCTGCAATTTTACTGATGAAGTCTCGAAATGTAAATTCGATGTTAATAATTTCTTCTTCCGCAGTTTTCGCCTGTGTAACTATTTTCTTGCTTCTTGCTTTTCTGTCAAGTACTATATTCAAAAAATTAAATACAATGTAAATCTTCATCTGCTGTCTCTTTGAATCCGCTTATTTTTATTGTCCTTTATACTCAATAACGATTTCTCATTTTCCTTCATGTCACTGTTTTTCAGCCTCAGTAACCCCTTGAATCTTAGTTGCTTTATTGCCTTGTTTGATAGATAGATAGATAGATAGATAGATAGATAGATAGATAGATTCCAATGTACCAAATCCAACTGCTGTCTGGAATGGTCAACCAGTTTATAAACTTTCAACGTATAAATCAAGCGTGCCATTCTGCTGAAAATGTTTTTACAGTGGGTACCAAACTTACTTTTACAAAGTTTAGGGACCGGTTCGACAGACCAAAACAAGAACAAATGTCAATATAAACATATATCCGCAAATCCTTCGTTCTTGAGTTATTAAGTTTTAAGAAAGTTTACGGTAGATGGCGCTGTGTTGTCATGTAGACGAGGTTGCATTTGTCATTCGTGTACATTTGTGGCTAGTTTGACTTCAATGTTTAACGTGTGTAGTAGTGAATTAACTGAGAAGTGTTCCGTTTATTCATATCGTGGGAAGGTAGATATGATTTTTATATTAATGGACGCATGGCTGTACGTCTGTATCAGATTGCATTAGTAGACCGATAGATATTTTACCTTGATTTGGTGTCAGGAAGTTTGTAAAGGTATTTTGAGATTGGGTTGTTTATTTAACAGCGTCTACCGTAAACACTGAACGCCTTGTTTTGGTTTGAACGAACCACCAATTTACCCACACTATTACCACACCTTTATAGTCTTGTAATAAATCAATTTTCTATGACCAGAGAATGTAAACTCAGCAGGACCACGACTGTTTCTTTGTCGAGCAGGAAACGAATACCAAATATTTGTCCGCTGCTTAATTATCCAGCATTTTACTACCTACCCACAGATGCTAGAATGTAATAGTCAATATCCATACAGTGCGAGGAAGCGGACAGAATACACTGAACCTCTCTTTTGCGTGGTGCTGCTCTAGGGTCGAAATCTGCAGAATCAGAATTACCTGAATTTTGGTCACTTCCAAGTTGAAGACGAGAAAACGGTGCCACGTACCGTCTAAATGGAATAATATAGCCGAAGAGGAGGGGGGCGAGGAAGAACTGACACTATACTCTAAACTCAGCCGCAGCGTGTGATGCGAATGTCCCTTTCTGTAAATGTTTACTAAATTCATTATTGTACAATGTTGCGGTTTTCCTAAGACGACGTGCCACAGATTATTTATTAAAGATAACGATAAAGAGAGCAACAAAAATACATATACATACAAAGACAGACAGTTATATAAATATACTGAGATAGATATATAGATAGATATGAATAGACTGAGATAGATAGATATGAATAAAGATAGCTAGATATGAATAAAGATAGATAGATAGATAGATAGATAGATAGATAGATAGATAGATAGATATGAATAAAGATAGATAGATATGAATATAGATAGATAGATAGATATGAATAAAGATAGATAGATATGAATATAGATAGATAGATAGATATGAATAGACTAAGATAGATAGATAGATAGATAGATAGATAGATAGATAGATAGATAGATAGATAGATATGAATAGACTGAGATTGATAGATATGAATAGACTTAGATATGAATAAACTGATATAGATATATAGATATGAATTGACTGAGATAAACATATAGTTAAATATGAATAGACTAAGATAGATAGTGATTGGTAGATATATAGTAATAGATAGATAGATAGATAGATAGATAGATAGATAGATAGATAGATAGATAGATAGGAATAAACTGAAATAGATAGATATGAGTAGACTGAAATAGATAAATATATTGATTAAAAATGGAATATGTGAAAAGTGACTATTATTACAGTGTTTATACTGTAAAACTGCAATGAGTAAAGAAATAGACACGAATTTTACTGGAGAAAGAAAGAAAGAAAAAAAGAAAGAAAGAAAGAAAGAAAGAAAGAAAGAAAGAAAGAAAGTGTACAGAAAGAAAGCGATTGCAACGAGAGAAAAAAAAAGAAAGAAGGAAAAAGATTAAACAAAGAAAAAGTATAGAAAGAAATAAAATAAGGAATAAAAAATAACGAAAGAATAAACACTTAAAATGGCTGAAACAAAATGCAAAAATGATGAACGAAGAAAGAATATGAGAATTAATAGAGAGAAAGGAAGAATGAATAAAAGGAATGAAGAAAAAACATGAGGATAATGCATAAAGAAAGAAAGAAAAAAGTGGAATGATTAAACTCGTCTATATCTTCCAACAGGAGAAAGCATTGAAATGCCAACATTACAAATATATATATATATATATATATATATATATATATATATATATAACAACAACTTCACCCAGATGTTATTTAAATAAGACCATAAAAAAAGTACATCCGCTTAGCCTTCTAACCTTTTGTGCCTCTGAACAAGAGAGCCAAAGTCAAAATGAATTTCTCCGTTGATGGAGACATTAACGTCAACATTTACCGTTAATTATCATAAACAGCAATGCAATGTCCCTGCTTGAAACGGCATGTTACTAAAGATAACGGACAAACATTCGACACTAGATGAACAATAGCACTCAATACCAATATGGTAGTTCACGCTTACCAACTCTCATACAGATGTGTACCTATGGCAATCGAGCCATTTCTGATAATCGTTGAAAAGAGCTTGAAAGTGCCGATTCCAGAGAACTGGTGCACAGTGTGCCACAAGGTTCAAAAACGAACCTCCGCGGGGTTTTGAATTCAGACTTGTCTACTTCCTATATCGTTCGCTGTCCAAGGCTATAGGATTCTGTCTGTTCTGCTATTTACCCATGTCTGGAGGGAGGAGAGACGGATTCGTACCTTCCCCAATGCTATTAGCACGTCAGTGAATGTAATGAACTCGACTGGAATTCGAACTCGAATTTTGGGTAAAAGTTGTCTGACAAAGTGGAAAATGTATTCGTGTCAAAAATCTCGCGTTCGTATCCATTTGTAGTAGTCGCACCAATGTAAACAAATTTAGTCCGATTAAGCTCTAAAGTACGAAACAAGCCACCCGAAAACTCCCAAAATTATTCATGGTATATATATATATATATATATATTCTTTTTTTTTCTCTTTTTTTTTCTCTTTTTTTCTCTTTTTTCTCTTTTTTTTTCTCTTTTTTTTCTCTTTTTTCCTTTTACTTTATTTCCTTTCCTCACTATTCCAACAATTCACTTCCGTTTTCTTTAACCATATAAATAGGTCAAGGTTAAGTCACTCCTCCTACCCCAATATAAAGCTTATTTAAGAGAGACGAGACGTAAATTTAACCCTCCCTATATTTTGTATTGTCTATTTAACCGCCACCTTCATCTTCCCTGTTTAATTACAAAAATTACACTACCCATCAATTTCTATTCACATTTTTCTTCTCATTTCATTGTTGGAAGTGTTTACCTGATGATCCGAAATCCTTTAAAAGGATTTTGGTGAAATAAATTATTGTAATGGTACCTTAAAGTGGTCTGTTGTTCATTATATATATATATATATATATATATATATATATATATATATATATATATATATATATATATATATATATGAGTAATGGATTGAGGAATCGGAGAGCCAAGTTCGAATTCCAGTCGAATCCAGTTACATTCACTTACGTGCTAATACCTTTGGAAAAGGTGTGAATCCGCTTTTCTCCCTCCAGCTATGGGTAAATAGCAGACAGACTGGGTTCTATGGTTCACTGATCTAGGAGCGAAGGTCGTTTGGGAACCTTATGGCACGAAGTGCACCAGGTCTCTGTATTTGGCCCTTCAAAAAATGTGGATGGTCCTGCACGAAACCTTCACTACTATAATCAAATCTCAGGTGCTCAGTTTCCTAGGAACTGATCTGTTGACCCTCATACGTCGAATTTCGACGGGAGAGTCGTGTATATATATATATATATATATATATATATATATATATATATATATATATATATACAGATATATATATATATATATGAACAGACCTAGATAGATGAAAACAGACTGAAATAGATAAATGCCGACACCCTTAGATAGATAGATAGGAACAAATTGAGATAGATAGATAGATAGATAGATAGATAGATAGATAGATAGATGGGAGAAAACTTGAATATTTTATCTTTCCAATCGGGTCGAGTTTCACCATTTGCAACGGGATTCAGAGGAATAGAAAGAAATACATTATTCATATACTTCTATTCAGAACTACAGTTCGTCCAGGGAGTACGAAGTCTCTCCAAAAGACAAACGAGACACGTCTTGTCACTACGATATCCTGAGGTTAAAGAGAAAAAGAGACAAAAAGATTGACTCCTGTACTATTATATGCTTTATAAAACGCTACGTAGCGGTCGTTAAGTGAAGTTGCCTTCGCATAGAACTTGGGATAATTTCCTAAAATGCTTTCTCCTTAGGAAACTGCCTCACCTCTCTAGCAGGCGTCATCTGAATCTATCATACAGTTATATTACTTATTTCTATGCACCAAATCCAAGTGCTGTCTTGAGTAGTCAACCAGTTGATAAACTTTCAACGTATGGAGTAAGCTTGCCGGTTCAAAAAACATTCCGCCGAAAATGTTTTTACAGTGGGTATCAAACTTACTTTTACAATCTTTGGGGACCAGTTCGACAGACCAAAACAAGAACAAATGTCAATATAAACATATATCCGCAAATCCTTCGTTTTTGAGTTATTAAGTTTTAAGAAAGTTTACGGTAGATAACGTTGTGTTGTCATGTAGACTAGGTTGCATTTGTCATTCGTGTACATTTGTGGCTAGTTTGACTTCAACGTTTAACGTGTGTAGTAGTGAATTAACTGAGAAGTGTTCAGTTTAACTATGGCACGATATTCATATCGTGAGAAGGCAGATATGATTTTTACATACGGCCGCGCAAATATTAATGGACGCGAGGCTATACGGTTTTGGTGTCAGGAAGTTTGTAAAGGTATTTGGGGATTGTATCTTGGATTGTACATTTAACAGCGTCTACCGTAAACTCTAAACTTAACTCAAAAAACAACATTTGTCCTTATTTTGGTTTGAGAAAGCCGCTCCCAAACTTTGTAAAAGTATTTTTGATGCCCCCTGTATAAGTTTAATAAACCGGAACAAAATAATTGTACCGCGGGGAAAATTCTTTGAAAAAGAAAAAAAGAGTACCGTACTAAATAACGGTGTTGTGGGAAGAAATGAAGGAAATAATTGAATCGTGTCGACACGTGTATTTAGTATGCAAGGGTAAAACAGGCCGCCATCTTTGTTTACGCTTATCGAACATTATTCAGAAGTTTCCAACATCGGTGACCTTTCCACAAAGATTAACAGCAGACGTGGACTGGCTGCATGTGTCATGAGAGGTTTCTGGAGATTAGTATGGCGGTGTCGCCTCCTACGTCCATAGCTTCGAATCTCGCGCCCTCATAGCCATCGAGATCGTATACTGGTCGGATCTTGCGTCTAGTGATGACCTCCTCCCGAGTACCGGCGAGCCGAGCATTACCCCCCGCCCCCGCACCATTTCTCAGCGCCGTGTTCGCTCCGTCATGTCCTGCGATGACCTGATGACCACCCCATCAGAGTTCGACCCGCCGTCTGCAAACTGGAGACAACTTCATGACAGACAAATACACAACCGCTGAAATGACATCGTCCACCGGGACCCCCAGCAGATCAATCTAGCGCTGGAGGGTGTTCCGAGCTTCTGCCAATGACATCAGAGCTCAAGAGACAAGGTGGCTCTCGTGGGCTCAACGTTTTCATGGAATGAGATTTAGCCGCGGCAATAGTATTATTGAAATTTCTTCATTGAACCAATATCAAGTATTATTTCTGATCCGCGCAGCAGATTAACAAACGTAGAACAACGAGTTCTATAGACAAAAGAAATTAAAATTAAAATTAAAGAAATGGTGAAAAATTAAGAATAACAAATTTTGCTTTTCATCCTCTCAGCTTGAAAAGCATTGAGAGTTAATGGTCATTTTTTTACATACGTTATTAAGTATAACTCAAGACTTCAATGTTAAGATAAAACAGTATTTAATGACAACCGCAAATAAATACTTAATAAGAAAAAGAAGTAAAAGTCAACCAAAGATAATCAACCATTTTAGTGAATATCTTGTTAGTAGCACGGCTCAATTTAACGTCAGTTAAATCCCAAATCATCGACACACACTAATTCACACTAATTCGACTGGATAGTTCCACTCAATAGTTACTCAATAATCAGCGCAGTCAGTAGCCTGACATCACTACTTATACACCTGTTGGAAAAATATATTCCTATGCCCAGAGTATCACGCTCGAACTTCGGTGTCGGTAGTTACTCATTTTCTTCCCATATGAAAAGTTTTGTCTTAAATTGAAAATAACGCTGTGAGACCGGGTGCGATCTGTTTTCTTTCTAACTTTGGCAATCATAAGATCATGAGTTCAAATCATTTCATTGATGACTTTGGTCTCTATCATAGAAAGCCTTAACTGCTAAAAATATTTTTCTTTTTCGTTTTATTATTAATGCTATTTCTTCACCCCCCCCTTTCCTGTTTACTTTCTTCAGCATAATGTTCTACGCGGTGTTCGTGCATGTGATTCAATAAAGAACAAGTGAGAAAATGTTTATAAATTTTACATGTTTCATCTCATCTTAGCATCATCAGAAATTTTGGGAAATAAGGAAATGCGAATAAATTTTCGGTATTTCAAATTCTACAAATTCTTGTTTTGATTGTCCAGAAACGGCATAGAATTCGAAATGCAAAAGACTTTCCTGTATCCCCTCATTTCCAAACTTTTCTGATGATACCAAAATAAAAGCGAAACATAGGAAATTGATAAGCGTTTTGCCATTAGTACCTTATTTAATCTGTCCATTGGATCCCATCCAGATTTTAATTCAAATATATTTCAAGCTCTTCCTCGGTCCTTTGAACTTTGTTTCCTGTTTAGGATTGGGTTTTCGTTTCCTTACTTTTCAATCTCTTTTGCTCCCAGTATCCTCTTGCGGAGGATATTGCTTAATAACATTAGTGCCATGCCTGAGGTAAATATTATAATATTTTCATATAGACAAAAACAATTTACTCACTACAAAGGTGCAACTTCGTTTCAGTTTCAGTAACCATTTCGGTTCACACCTGTCGAAGTGGAATTTTAAATGCACTGAAACGAAGTTGCATATTTGTAGTGATTAAATTGTTTTTGTCTACATGAAAAA